AGTTTTGTTGATATTGATATGAACTTGCATTGACATTTGGTTGATATTAGTATTTTATATGTTCACATTATGTTTCTTTTTCCCCCCATGTACACAATGTGGATACCTTCCATTCTGGAGAGAATTACTTAGAGCCATGCTTCTCAAACTGTCTATGTTAAAGGACCCAACTTTTCTGACGTGCTGTTTTCGTCTGCAATCTATTGTAGGTCAATTCTATTGTATAACAACAAAAATGCATTACTGGCAAAATGAAACTAATAAAACACAGGCATATAGACATAAGCCACATTTTTATTGTTAAATTCAGTTATATTGCTCTGCCAAATTGCCATACATGTTTTTGAATGCTCACCCCCAATGTTTCCATTTATCTTATTGTAGATCAGTAATAGTTCATGGATTGGCTCTGGTCCATGGTTCAAAATGTGAGTACCATTCAGATTAACCCAGAACCTACTGTAATTTCCCATAGCACAGGAAGACATTGAGTTATAGGGATCCTACTTCATATAGTGGTTAAAGAAATAAACAATATATTTTATTTATGTAGCCTATTTTTACTTCCCAAAGTGTTCATGCTCCCATTTATCTTCAAGAAAGATTCTGTGGCAGGTAGATGTAAGTACACTATTTTATCAGCAAGAAGCCAACCTACCTTCATTAGGATAATGCCTTTATTTAAGTGCACATGTTTTAGCCTATTATTTTCTAGTATTGCACTGTAAAAATCTGCATAGAACACACATTGTGTGAACCAAACCGTGAACTGAGTTACTGACCTTTTTATTCAATTTAAGAAACATTTACTGAGGGCTCCTATGTGCCAGGCACTGTGCCTGTACTCTGTGGGGGATCGGAGATGCACAGATGTTGCTTCATTCTGATAGGGTAGGTGAAGCATACAATGAGTAAGTTTAGTGCAAGGCACAACCTGACAGGGGTATTAAATGAGTACTGAACCCAGTGCTATAGGAGTTGAGAAGAAGTTAACTTTGGCTGGGGAAAGAGGCATTTGGGTGGATGTAGAGTAGCTTTTGGAATTGCTTAAATGAGTTTTTGAAGAGGAGGTAGAATCACATGAGGAAAGTCACAGAAGTGCTAAGGAATCGGGGTCCCTTTTCTGTTCCACAAGCATGAGTGCAATGCTGACGGGAGACTTTCTGCTTTCAACTCTGCTCACCTTGACTTGGCACTTAGAATCCCCAGAAGAGAATCTTGACCAATCTGCTTTCAACTCTGCTCACCTTGACTTGGCACTTAGTCAGAATCCCCAGAAGAGAATCTTGACCACATAAATGTTAGAAAAATAGATATTACAGAAGATTTGATAGGGAACAACAAAGAGAATTACATCACACCATACACAACAAACCATAGCAAAAGTCCTGATTAAATATGTATGTCCTTTTCAATGTCTCATCAAGTTTCTTACTGGATTCCAAGACAATTCATTTCTCTCTTAACTTTTTCTTCTCTCAAAGCAACTTAAAATCTCTTTCCTTTGTAATTGTGTATTTCTGTATCCTCATCCACTTCAGTAAACACAGACTCTCTATATCATCTTCCTTAGAATCTACACAAGGTAGGTATAAATAACATTCAGATCTCCTTCTCTTTCTCTAATTGGAGACACACAAAGATACTGGTTAGATGATGGTTGGATTGAAATAGTCACGGAGTGCAAAGGGTGGGTGACCAGTGGCAAGCAGAGGTGAGAAGAAGCAGAGAGAGAAACAAGATGACAGAGAGCCCATGGTGTGTGAGAGCTAGCCAGAACAGCCCCAGCATGACCTCCAGGTCCACTTGCCGCTCCATTACTAGCCAGACTCTCTTAGCTACCTGCACCATGGTCTTTATAGCCTTACAATGCATCTCTTTTTACTTAATTCAGTTTTAATGAGTTTTTATTATGAAGACATACTTACTTCCTACCTTGTTGTAAAGGAAAAGGGAAATAATAACTGTATAAATCATCTTCGGGTATGCCAAAGTCACAAATCGGATAACAGAGATCAGGTTCTTGTTTCTCTCCCTAGTCTCAATGAAGCAGAGGCTGGGCATATACAACTTTAAATTGCAAAGCATTTATTCTTGGAGGTTAAATATCCTAATAAAAGGAAACTGGAAAAAAAAGGAAACCGATGAAGGAGGAGGAAACACTCGGGAAGATAACAGCATTGCATGGGGGATGGACATACTGCTTTGCAGCTCCTCACGACTCCCCCATTTTATGAAACAGACGGTGAAGAAAACTAAAGAAAGTAATGGATACATTAATTCAGATAAGAATTTAGAATTAAAGTAAAAGAGATTATTTTCTTCTCAAATGAAGTAACAATGTAAAGCTGACAGGTATATGTTAAAATTACAGAACCTTAACCCTGCAACTGGTCACAGGCTTTGCCCGATGAAGCATGGAGTTGCTCTGTGAACTCAGCACAGATTCTTTTCAGCAGCCACACTCTTACGTTGTCTGTGTTGTCACCTTTGGCTATGAAGGACGCCAGTAAATACAGCGCCCTCAGGACAGCATCACAGAGCTCACGGACACCGAACAAGAGAGAAAGTCACCAGCATGGGCCAGAAGAGGCTCTCCGTTTCAGAACATTGAGTTTATGATTAAAAAGGGCCGGTTGCTAGTAAAATTCAGTGATTATAACATGATTTCCCCAACCATATTTAAGGTAACACCAAGGTTACCCAAATCAAATATTTTAATAGATTCACAAAGACCGGAAGGCATTTCTAGATTTCCCAGCTGTAAAAGTTCTAAAATATAACTAGATTTCCCAGCTGGAAGAGTTCTAAAATATTACTATTACATTGAGCTCAACAGAACAGTAAAGCAAAGACGTTTAGTGCTGGTGACATTCCAGGGAACAGTTAAAATTGCTTTATGGCCTTTGGTAATGAGAGTGGACAGCAGTGTAACAATACATAATAAGGTGAGTTTAGTTTTATGTCCTGAGAACAATCTGCTTGACTTTTATGGTTCCATTCTTTAAACTGCTTCTGTTTTAAGTAATTACAAATGATAGCTGGCAAGTGACAGTTATAACCACTGTAGCAAATGGACATTGTTGTAGCACTGTAGTCTACCCCGGAGTACTGTTATCTTATACTTCTAGAAGAGGGTTTAGTGTAAGTGACGATGTCATAGGAAACAAATATCTCCTGACTTACACTAGACCTAGAAGTAGAAGGATCTCCTTCAAGCAAGAGCAACTCCAGTTTGTGCTAGAGGTGCTTGCCAAAAGGTAGTGCATCTAACACTCATGATGCTTGAGTTGCTGTTAGGAGATCCAAGAAAAAATGTATTTTGTTTTAACAGTTATATTTTTATTTGGAAATTATTAAAATAAGTATAAAGACCACATCAAAATAGGATTGCATGGATATTATTGCTTAAGATGGGTTTCTTAAAAAAGTTCACATAGGCCTTGGCCTGGTAGGTCAGAGCATCATCCTGATACGTGGGTTTGATCTTTAGTCAGGGCATATACAAGAAGCAACCCATGAATGAATAAGTAAGTGGAATAACAAATTGATACTTCTCTCTCTCTCTCTTTCTCTCTCTCAAATCAATAATTTTTTAAAAAGATCATAAAAAGAAAAATATTAAATAAATATTATAAGTGGTATGTGGTAGAAAAGGCAAAACTATTTTTTGTTTGTTTCTTAGATTTTAGAGAGAAAGGAAGGGAGAGGGATTAGAGAAACATCAATGTGAGAGCAAAACATCAATTGGCTGCTTCTTGCATACCCGCTACCAGGGTTGAGACCCCCAACCCACGTCCCGGGCTTGTGCCCAGACTGGGAATGGAACCAGCAATCTTTAGGTGCACAGAACGATGCCCAACCAACTGAACCACACAGACCAGGGCAAAAAGGCAAAACTTTTGACTTTGGTGGGTACATGACTGTGTACCTAGCCTTCGAAATGGCTTCAGTGGTCCCCAGCTCCTGGTATTCATGCCCTAAAATCCCCTCCCACACAGAATAGGGCTGATGTGTAACCAACAGGCTCTTGTGGGAATGAAAGAGTGTGACTTCCAAAGCTAGAGCAAGTCATTGAGGCTTCACTTTGACCTTTGACCATTTGTTCTGAGGGGAGTCAACGGCCTTGCCGTGAAAAGCACCCTGTGGAGAGTCCCATTTGCTGAACAGCCAAGGAACTAACAGCCCACAGGAGCTGAGTCTTCTTGTCTACAGCCCCGTGAGTGAGCTGACCTCTGGACTGCAACCTGTATGACCCCCGGGCCCAGAGCCGTCTCAGCTAAGCACCTCTTGAATTTCTGCCCCACAGAAACCGTGTGGCATAAAACATGGTTATTGTTAAGATGCTAAATGTGGGGGTGGTTTGTTAAGCAACCGTATAAACTAATAACAGATAAAGAATATAAATAATACGATGACCAAGGCTGGGAAACAGCGATAGAGAATTCCGTTTACCATTGCTCACAGGGAGCTTTGTTTTTTCTCCTCTTTTCTGAAACTTCCATCACATGGAGCTGAACTGAGATGTAACACTGTGTACCTGCTGCTCCTGTTGTTGCTGAGCATGTACATGGTACCTCCTACCTGACAACGTGTTGACTCTCACTTCCTCTGACCATGAGAGGATTAGAGGCTTTTCATGGATGCAGACTCTGTAGCCAAGAGAAATTTAGCAGCAGTCCGAGAGATGTGACCTGAAGTTCTGAATTCCAAGTGTTAAACAACTTGCTGTTTCTCTTGTTTCCTTTCTGTTTCTGGAAAGATCTCAAAGCAGCTGCCATCTCTCAGCTCTATCCTCCTGTGTGATTTTATCGTTTTCCTGGGCCACTAACTGGGTCCATGGTTAATTCAGAATCATTGTCACAGTGTTATTTTATGCGACTTCTATAACAACTTACAAATACGCATTAGCTATTTTTCTTACTTATTAACTCCCTCAGCATGTCAGCAGAAGCAGGTTGCTTAAAAAAGTTCCTAGACACATTGGTCCAGGTTCTTACCTTCATGCAGAGGACTCACTGGGAAGAGTCTCATGATGCTGTTATTTCCTCCGACTGGAGAGCAAAGAGCTAGTGAAAAGAGCAGAGACTGGGTAAGGAGAATCCAGCTCATTTTCTATATTTACTCACATACTCTCACTCACTCTTTTTATTTCCCAATTATTTTCTCGTCATCGGCGGAAGTTTCTTATTAGGTCTTGGGCATGCATGCTAAAAATTAATTTGGTTTCCACTATGTGCTGTGTTCTGCTGTGTCAGCATTTCCATAATTACACTCCGCCACTGGCTGCCCCAGATGACTGCTAAAATTATATATCGTGGGGTTTAACTACAGACCAGACCACGGTGTCTTTTAATCTTCACTGGAATTCCTTCCAAATAACTAAGGAGCTAATCACCCTAGCCCTATTTTTCTTTGTCTCTATTTTGGGCCTTTTCAAGCACCCCTCTTTCAACAGAACAGAAGTTCCTATACCTCTTACATTTTCAAGCTGCTTTGGGGTCACGGTGTTGGGGAAAGTGAACAGAGACCGATTTTCTCCATAATCTCATCAAAAGAGACTCCAGGAAACAGAATCCTAATACCTGGCAGGATGTTCTGACCCACAGACACATTCTTTGCCACATCATAAATGTAGTGAATAGCTAATTTTGTGGAAATCTAGACTCCACACGGTCACTTCTTGATTCTAGCCCATGGATCACGTTTCTTAGTGCAAATGACCCAGATGAAAGCAAATATCGGTAGAGATGTAAATTAAATATACCAAGAAGGCTAGCTTCTAGTTCTGGTTCTAAATTTCTAACCACGATTTGAGTGAGTCTCATCACTTTCCAGGTGCCAGTCATTCTATCTGTAGGACAGGAAGGCGCTAGGAAATGATTAAAGAGCACTTCCAGCTCTCCAGACCTGGAGCCTCGGGAACAGGGATGGCAGCTCAAGACGCCCACCACGCTTCCCACGGCCACGTGTTCTCACAGCCACCTCTGTCTTGGTGTTCCTGCTCGCTGGTGATTTTATTGTCAACAGTCATCTTTGTATTGTTTCTTTTTTTAATTTAGATTTCCTATCCTTTATTTCTCCCTCTAAAGCAATGATGGCGAACCCTTTGAGCTCAGCGTGTCAGCATTTTGAAAAACCCTAACTTAACTCTGGTGCCGTGTCACATATAGAAATTTTTTGATATTTGCAACCATAGTAAAACAAAGACTTAGATTTTTGATATTTATTTTATATATTTAAATTCCATTTAACAAAGAAAAATCAATAAAAAAAATGAGTTCGCGTGTCACCTCTGACATGCGTGTCATAGGTTCGCCATCACTGCTCTAAAGCCTTTACAGACCGAGGTCATGATAGAGATAGAGACTGGCTACCTCTTGATATGAATTATGCTATTCTAGAGTGCTTAGAAAATGAACCTTCTAGGAAAGCATCACCAGTCATTCTTTATGTGCTTATCTTTTCTTCCTGGAATGTCCTCCTTTAATTATTTGATTATTTATTGATAAACGAGCTCTCCACACAAACAGTCATCTGTGTGCCATATCCCTTGCTTCAGCCCCAGCACCTAGGCCATTGTTGGACAAAATAACAATTCTACTTGTTTATATCAATGGATATGCTCAGTATACTAGATTAATTAATTGAACCAGAATCTCTTTTTAGGAAATCTGTCTTTTGAAGAAGTATACCTCCAAAGACATCAGAACTATTTAGAAATAGCAGCAGTTCAGAAAACACTTAGTGTAGTTCCATTAAACTGTCCCCAGTGTGATATACAGCAGAAAATCAGAAAGAAAAAATTCCTAGACAGAGGGGTATCTAGTAAACCTCTAAATAGTGCGCAGCTGTATGGCATGTGGTACGACTGGATAAACAAACTTAAGCACATTTGGGTTGGAGAGTTCTGGCTATAATTGTACTTTACATCTCTTTCTGTGGTCAGGCATAAAGTAAAACCTTAGCGGTGCTATTCTGAATGGCCATGCCATATTAGGTTATGGAAAATCCTCATTAATTTGAGTTCTATAAATCTAGACTTTACAAATCTAAAACTGATTTAGTTTTTCAAGTAGGAGTGATTTCTAAGAAAACATATTAAATGAAATGAAGGAAATATAAATGAAATTTTTAAAAATTAAAATTCATGATGAGATCTAGTTCTACTTTGTAATTTGTTTTAAAGGAAATAATGGAATGTACTCTTCAATTTCAGTGATTACTTATGTCTGTGTATTTGACTGGTGTTTTGAAAGTACATTGTTCATTGTTTAGTAACTAAACAGTCCTTTGAGGCCATTATGCAAGAGAATACAAATTTAAAAGATTAACAGCATTGATAAAAACTCAATTATTTGTACTCCTTTTATATATACCTAAAGGTACGACTCACTCTAAAATTATGTTTCAGTAAAGTTTTGCAATTCTAGAAAAAAAAAGAATTATTCTGAAGTACTTAATTTATAGAATTGATATGTCAAAGTGAAATTGTTTTGAGGCTTGCTATTTCATGATAAGAAAATATAAATCACAAATTATTACATTGCTATCAGTACAGTGACACAATTGAAATAATGTTTCTATTTTTATAACTAAAATTTAGTTTGAAACTATAGAAAGCAGAAGTTTAGAAATATATTTTAATATTTCTTCTGGTTCTTTATTGTACAGCTTACATATATTTGTAACTTCATGGGATTGGCAGGCAGGCAACATACCTTTTGATGAATATGAAAGGAATTTGGGGTTGAGTAAATATAATCTGAAAATCTAACTAATGTTAATGAAAGTCAGTGACAGATAAAACAAATTTAATTTCCACATAATACTTTAAATACTGAAGATAACCTCAAATTCCTATGTGACACGAGACATAGTTTGCTTACCACAAAACACTTATTTTTTAAATTTAAAGATTATTCATAATTAATGTATAAAATTGAAAAAGCAACAGAAAAATAAAAGGAGGAAGAAAGTAGCCCATGTGGAAAGAATCTCTGCTAACATTTGACTACTTTTATTTATTTTTAATTTACCTTTGTTGTTGAAAATATTAGAGATGTTCCCCATTTTTTCACCATTGACCTCCTCTCCCTACACTCCTCTCCCCCAGGCCTTCACCACACTATTGTCTGTGTCCATGGGTTATGCATATATGCATATAAATTCTTTGGTTAATCTCTCCCAACAAATTCACTTTTGTTTCTATATATTTAAAAACATAATTAAGATCTTAACATAATTAAGAATGTATATATTTTTATATACTGGCTTTGAGAAAACTTAAAATTTATTTTTTTCTAATTATAAAAATCATATGTCTCTTGTAGGAAATTTAAACATAAAAAAATAAAAGAAAAAAGTAAGAACTACTCAGGATCTCATTATCTAGAGAATATTAGTTGGACACAAATATATATCAGGATTTAATAACTGATGCAGTGGCAATGCAATCAATAGATAAAAGATAAACTATTTAATAAATAAACCAGAAAAAAAAAACCATATGGGATTATTCATATTGTACCTGTACACCAAGATAAATTTTAGTTAAATGTGAGATATAAATGTTGAAAAAAAAAGTACTATCTCTAGCTGGTTTGGCTCAGTGGATAGAGTATTAGCCTGCAGACTGAAGGGTCTCAGGCTCGATTCCGGTCAAGGGCACATGTCTGGGTTTCGGGCTCAATCCCCAGTAGGGGATTCTCTCTCATCATTGATGTTTCTATCTTTCTCTCCCTCTCCCTTCCTCTCTGAAATAAATAAAAGTATATATTTTTTAAAAAGTACTAGAATAAAAGGGAGAATTTCTTTATAATCTTAGAGAAGCAAAGCTTTTTAAAACTATGACTCAAAATCCAGGAGATACACTTTTTTAAATGATAACTTTGACTATTACATATATGTAAAATATATGTGCATGTTAGAACAAGCACCTAAATATCTGAAAACTAAGGAGAAGAAAAAAAATGACAAGCCAGAAAATATTTGCAATTCATATCATACAGAAATAGCAAATTCCCTGATATGTAGAAAGCCGCTACAAATTAATAGGAAGCATAACAACCCATCATAAAAATGAACAAGAGATATAAACAGTCCAAATAAAGATAAAAATGATCCTTACACAGATGAAGAAATATTCAGATTTAAGATAAATTTGAATTAAAACTACATTGAGGGTCAGTAGAGATTCTGCAAGTGCCCCGCAGAGGTCAAAACTCCGTGGGAAAGATGCACCAGTAGGAAAGTATAAAAAACTCCTTTCTCCTGCAAGGCTCCGAGGCTCCAACGGCCCCTGCGAGGCTGCGCCGGCCCCTGGGAAGCCGGTGGAACTGCACGAGCCGCCCAGACGGCTTAGTCGACGGCCCGTGAACCAGCGCGCAGCCCCATGCACAACTATCACCCGAAGGGCGAGAGGGGCAGGAGCAGCTGTAGTGTTGCTTTCTCCTCACTTTTGGTAGCGAAATCCTCATTTTAAACATAAGAGGATACATTATTTTTAAAAACCATTACGTGGCTCCATACCCTTTCTGAGTAGAGCGTGAACAAGTCGTGAGAGACCTTTCCGAACACAGGGACACGTTGCGGATGGAAATAGCTACATTTTCCATGTGTATGACCTTTGACCCGGCGACAAAAAGCGTACACCTATGGATGAGGACAGTGGGGGGGTAAAGGCAGAGGGAGGGGTGGGAACTGGGTGGAGGGGAGCTACGGGGGGAAAAAGGGGAACAACGGTAATAATCTGAACAATAAAGATTAAAAAAAACTCCTTTCTTGTCATTATAATTACCTCCCATATGTGTGAAACTTTCACGTCCCTCTAACATTAACTTTGCATATTCAGTAATATCTTTCATGTATTGCCTTAGACATTTGGACTGAGACTTTTTAGACAAATTTTTAAACCACTTTGTCAAAAAAAAGGGAGTATTACAGCTCCCTGTAAGGAAAAGGGAGTGGCAGCTACAGGATGATAAAGATTACTAGAGAGCTCTCTCCCTATAAATGGGAATTAAACAATTTTTCATGTGAAAGGTAAACAAATAAAAAAAAGTTCAGC